CGACCGGAACCCCCCCCCCCAAAAAAAAAAGAAACAATTGTAGTTTAGTTTAGGTGTGTGTGTGTGTTTGGAGAAAAGTCTCATACTTTCTTTGAACCAGGATCCTCAGCTTCCTGAGTAGCCAGGATTACTGGTGTGAGCCACTACATCTGGCATGGTATACTTTTTTGAAAGATTTTTTTAGGACAGGCACTAGTGGCTCACATCTATAATCCTAGCTACTTAGGAAGGAGCCTGACAACTGGAGGATTGCAGTTCAAAGCCAGTCTGAGCAGAAATGAGACTCCCCATCTCCAGTTAACCAGCAAAAAAGCTGGACTGGAGGTATAGCTGAAGTGGTAGAGTGCCAGCTGTGAGCAAGCAGTCCAAGCAGACAAGAGGCTCTGAGTTCCAACTCTGGTACTGGAAACAAAACAAAACAATTTTAAATTGAAGGCATGGTTTACACATAATGAAACAGATTTTAACTGTGTATTCAGTCAATTTTGAACTGATCTGTTTTACAACAGCATCTACCACTTATTCCCAAATAAAGAACATTTGTGTTACCCCAGAAAGTTCTCTCATATTCTTTGTCATTCTCCCCCAGAGGCATTGACTAATCTTTTATATTGCCATAGGTTGGGTTTGCCTATTAGTATGACATATAAATAGAATATGCAGTATGTCTTCTTGGGTCTGACTTCACTGATTTTGTTACATGTTTTGGTAGTTCGGTTCTTTATAATTTTAGTTTTGAATGTCTAGATGGGGTTAAAGAATTCCTAATAGGGACTGTGAAAGCATGAGGGATAGGCAGGAGAGAAAAGAGCGAGTCATTGGATTGAAAGTCAGAATAGCTAGGTTTTACTGGTGGCTCTGTCAATACATAATCTATGGAATCATCTCTCTGGGGAAGGAAATATACCTACCCAAGGTCATTCACTCAGCCAGTGAGTGGCACACCCATGGATTGTGCCAAGCCACTCAGTTCTCAGCTCAGTGCACTTTACTGGAACTTTTAGGAATTGATTGTTATGTAGTTCAATAACTTCCCAGAAGGACAGAATGCCTAGGTCAAACATGCAGTTTTCCTAGCTAACACCAGAAGATTCTATAGCTTTTCTTTTAGTCCTTTTCCTCTGGGTGAGAGTGCTTGTACTTTGGAAGCCTGTGAAATAACCAGTTGTGATTCTGAAAGTAGATGATTTTGTCACAGAGAAAGAAATCAAATCTGGGTGTTTGACCCTATTAGGAAAGCTCTATGAGCATGCATTAGGTGAACTGGATCTGCTGGAAAAACTGCAGGCAGGGGTAGATAATATGTCTTGTGCTTATTTCACTTGTACTTTGATCTCTTTGTATACATTTGATTTCGAAATGTCCAATCTTCTTGCAGAATGTAAAATGATGTTGCTGTTAACACTCTCCCTGGAATAACTCATTCTCAGACATTTCAGCTCATTTTTACAGGATCAGCTCACATTCGGACAGAATGCCCAAGCATTCTGGGGAAAGAAAATTCTTAAAAATATAGCTACTATCCAAAGAAGAATCCCTCTTACTTCCTCTGCCAGCGTTAAGCCCCTTGCTGAAGCAGAGGAGGGAGCCCCAGTGTTCCCTACCAAGGGAAAGTATAAAGTTTCAGTCTGGACTTGCTCCAGTTCTCTTCCAATTTCTAAAGTCAGCAGACCAAAGATCTAGTCTGGCAACTTTACCTAGGGAGGGAGGAGTATTTTCTTACTTAACTAGTAAAACATATTACAGTGCACCTTTGTATTAGGACCTTGCAGCAGAAGAGCTAAACCATGAGTCTGATCTAGGCTTGGTCAAGAGGGGCACCCAGCCAAGAAGTCCCCCTACTCTCTTCCCAGGTGACCCAGAATTACCAGAGGTAGATGTTAGATTGTATCAGAACAGGCATAAACTACCTTCAGGCATAGACTACCTTAAGCCCCAGCTCTATGGCGGGCTGCAGAACTGAGACTGAAGAAAAACACCAAACTTTACATCTGAGTTGCTTACACTTACTAATTTTTCTTGTAAAGCAAACTAATAACAAGCAGTGTGGTTATTCACTATGTGTTAAGCTGTGCACTGGATGCTTGTGAGAGGACAAGCCAAACTTTAGAGCAAGACAGACTGAGTCCCATCTTTAGCACCTCTGTAAAAAGCTGTGAATACTGTGTTGGGAGGACTGGCTTAGACATCATAACTAAGGATGATCATTAGTATACAATAATGATGGCAGACTTAGATTCTAAGCTCATTCATTACTTATATAACTTAATATTTTTACAACTCATTCTTCCAACAATTCTGAGGAAGGTCTATATTTTCTAGTTTTGAGGCTTGTGAGGAAAGTAATAAAGACATACACATCTTGTGTGTGGGTACTGGTCCTGGGGCTCCAACCTAGGGCCTGGGTGTTCTCCTTGAGTTTTTTTTTTCTTTTTTTCACAAGGCTAGCACTCTACCTCTTGAGGCACAGCTCCACTTCTGGCTTTTTGTGTTTAATTGGAAATGATTCTCATGTACTTTCCTGCCCAGGCTGCCTTTGAAATGGGATCCTCAGATGTCAGTATCATGAGTAGCTAGGATTACAGGCAGGAGCCACCAGTGCCTGGCTATACACAAGTTGTTATAGGAAGCCATTATTTCTGCTAAGGATGGCCTTTCACTGATCTGTGCTAGTATCACCCTGCTGTCTCCATGACCAATTACATTTAATTACATAAGCAATAAGATGATTTCTATCTAAAATAGCTCATTTAAAAGTTTTTCTACTTTACAGTGGACAAAAGTAAAACTGTACTTCTATTTCTGAACTTTGATACTTTTCTGGGCTAGCACAGTATGTAACCTTATGAAACTGGGCAGTGGCAGTAAATCCACTGCCTGGTTAGACATATGAAGGTGAGCAACTGACACTACAGCATATTGTGTAATTAAGCCTGATGTTCAGTAGATTAGAGATTTTAAATGATATGTGTGCTCATGTGGTATTAGCTATCAAATCCCAGGACCCATGCATGCTAGGCAAGTGCTCTATCATGCAGCCATATTCTTCCTTTTTTTTCCGCTTAAATGCAACTCTGTATGTTCTGTTCATTCAGCAGACTCTGGTTCCCATTTGCTGAGAGTTTCTTGTTTGCTTCTTTCCCTTAAGATGAATGAAATATCCAAAATAGCTGATGAAATAAAAGGCGCTCCTGCCATTGTTAGACAATAAGTTAACTGCTCCAGTGTTACTTTATTTTCACCTGTGAAACTAGACTGTAAGCAACAGGCAGGCAGATGCCACACTGCTCCTCTCATCAGTTTCTAACACATGCCCCAGAAACACTTTCTGTTGTTGAGCTTGTCAATGAAAAAAATGAAGATCTGATGAGGAAACCTTGTGAATTTACTTCGAAAATGACAATTTCCCTGTAATCAGGTCAGTATTTGGCACACTGACCTAAGAGGTAGGATGGGAGTACCTCTTATCCCATTTTGTTTTACATACAAACATTGGTGGAACAGGAAGGGTAAGGATGTATGAAATGTGATCATTAAAATAAAACAGCTCTTGGTAATCATGTCCAAATCCATGGTACCTGGCCTTCAACTTTAGTCCCAAAGATTAAGAGTTTTTGGAGTGTATGTTTTACTCTTCTCTGTGCTTTTTCTTATTGATGTGTAGGTACTTTCAATTTATTTCCAGGTTTTAGATCTTCAAGTCCACACTTCCACCACTTAGGATTCCTTCCTCTCCAGGTCTCTGTGGGTGCTAGTTTATGCAGGGCCATGCTTAGGGCAGGTGGCTGGGAGTCTCAGCACTGGGCACTGGTTTGCTCTTTTCTCTTCTGCAGTTCCTCCCGCCGCTTTGCCTGCTGCTTGCTCATGCAATCCCTGAAGGCCTGCACCTGAGGCTGACACTGCCTCCAGTCCTGGTGTTGAGCCATGCACTCTTGCACTGCAAAGTGAGAAGCAGCACAGCCAGAGCGAGAAATCAGCTGGTCTAGAGGGTCTTCCTCCTCCTCCTCCTTCTTCACCCGTCGGGCCCAGTTGTGGCCTTTAGGGACAGAAGTTGACATCCTGGGTAGTCTACAGAATACCAATACAGCAGACAAGGTCAAAGTACAGATATAATTATATTAGGATTCTTGTATTACAAATACCACTGACTAGATTGCACTGTTAAAGCCTGCTTATATGTCTGTGTCCCTTGGAAAACTAAGGGTTTTTTTTTTTTTTTTGATGACAAATACAGTTTATCTTGGTACCTCAGCACTAGGCCTGGCAGAGAGATAATAGTTTGAACTGAAACCATTTGAGAGTGCTTACATCTACTCAAAAAGCTCAACAAACCAGGCATTCATAGCTCACACCTGTCATCTTACCTGTTCAGGAGGCTGAGATCTGAGCATTACCATTTGAAGCCAGCCAACTCTGGTAGGAGAGTCTGTAAGACTTTTATCTCCAATTAAGCACCAAAAAATAAAAAGTGGGTTTGTGGCTCAAGTGATATAGCATTACTCTATCATAAGCTCAGGGACAGCACCCAGGCCCTGTGTTCAAGCCCCCAGGTCTGGCACGCACGCACACACGCACACACGCGCGCGCGCACACACACACACACACACACACACACACAGAGCGATTGGGCTGAATGTAGCTGATTGGTAGTGCTCTCTAAGACCTCTGGATTAGACATAGCCCACCCCCCTTCCCCAGAACAACAAAACATAAATATTTCAGTGACTGGAGAAAATGTGAGAACAAGAAATGAAAGTTGGCAAAAAGACTAAGTGACAATAGCAGGGCTTTGCAGGTCATACTGAGGAGTTCACAAGAGGAATTTATTTTTTATTTTTTTAAAAAAGTTGTTTTTTTTTTTTTGTTTTTTTTTTGTCGGTTGTGGGGCCTGAACTCTGGGCCTGGGTGCTGCCCCTCAGTTCTTCAGCTCAAGGCTAGGGCTCTACCACTTGAGCTATAGCACCACTTCCCACAAGAGGATTTTAATCACTTTTTATCTCTACACAAAACTCATTTGCTTTGCAGGCAGAATTATTTGGGGAGGTGGCTTTGAAATAGACATGAATTAATTGGATATCTATAGCTGTGTTATTGCATCATTAGATACCTTTGGGAGTCACTTAGTCATCTTTTTATGAAAGTAGGGATGATTGATGATTCCCCTCCTCCCCCACCGCCCCCCAATTCTGGGGCTTGAACTCAAGGCCTGGGGCTTGAACTCAAGGCCTGGGCTTTGTCCCTGAGCCTCTCGGTGTTAGAGGCTAGCACTCTACCACTTGAGCCACAGCGCCACTTCCGGCTTTTTCTGTTTACGTGGTACTGAGGAATCATGCATGCTACACAAGCACTGTACCACTGAGCCACATTCCCAGCCCGGGATGATAATGCTTGTATAAGGAGAAAACCAAGAATATAGGAAATTACAGTTTCTATTACTGTACAAGTTTACTCTTCCTAAGCACACTCAGATCTTTAAAGGCCAGGAGGAAATCTCTTAAGAACAAGAACAGGGGAAGAGGGCTAAGAGATCCAGATTCGAATGCTAGCATCTAACCTTTTAAATGTTTTCACTGATAATGTTTAACTCGCAGAATTAAAGTGAGGGCTGACAGGGTGAACATACACTGCTTTAAAAAGAGACTCCGTTAATACTCCTGCAGTCTCCCTGGAGTAACAAGCAGATCAGAGCTGAGAGATAGAAAAGGGCAGGTTAGGTGGTTGGCAGGTGGATGGTGGAGGCCAGCCAGGGCTAGGAAGGCTTGAGAAGGATGGGAAAACAGAAAACCCACGGCAGCTCAAGCTCTTGAAGCGCCCAGCCCGCCTAAAGAAGAGGACGCATGCGCGTGAGTGGCCGCCAGCGCTCTCGCGTCGACCCCGCGGCGCCCTCCCCACGCAGGGACGCCGTGCGTGATGCTCACCTAACCGGTATAGAAAAGGCCTCAGACGCGCGCTCTGCTGTAGCTGCGCGGGTTTGGCCGGCAGTTTAGGGGACAGTCCTCCCCGGGAGCCTGCCCGTCTGGGGGAGCGTGCGGGAGGAAGGGCAGGGAACCCACCCCGCGATTTCATTGGTGATCTCTCGGTATAGATCCCGCCTTCGGTCCTCTCGCGTCTTTTCGAGGGAGCCACTTCCGGAAGAGGGGGAAAGAGGCGGGCTGGTGGAGGCGGGGTCAAGATGGCGGCGCCCTTGAGGATTCAGAGCGACTGGGCCCAGGTCCTCAGGTGAATCCAGGCCCACAACAGGGAGTCGAGGCGGGTAGCAGATGTAGTTTTTGCATCGGAGATGGCCATGCCTGGTACAGGATAACTGTAGTATTGCTTTATCAATATCTCTAGCTCCCAGAGAGCTCAAAGTCCAGAAAAATAAATCTTAAACTCACCTGATCATCATTTTTCAATTTGAACGGCAGGCCTGAGACTAAAGTGAATATGTAACTCACTGTGATCCTCCATCAGAACTAAAATCAGTGAGATGGAGGAAGGTAAAGTGGGAGTCAGGAAGACTCCTGTTCTAGTTGTCATTTACAAGATACTGGTCATCAAGCATTTTCAGAGTTCCAGTACTACTTTACATATGTGATGGAGTCTTTGTGTCTTCCTCGGTCCCCAGCACATAATGGACTGGACTGTCAGAAAACGGTAACATCTACCATGTCCAGGCCCTTAACTCCATGTTCAGTGGATTTTTTTTTTTTTTTTTTGGTCGGCTGTGCTTGAACTCAGGATCTGGATACTGTCCCTGAGCTTTCACTCAGGTATAGCTCTACCAATTTGAATTTGGCGCCACTTCTGGTTTGCGGATGGTTAATCAGAAATAAGAGTCTCATGGACTTTCCTGCGTAGGTTGGCTTTGAACCGAGATCCTCAGATCTCAGCCTCCTGAGTAGCTAGGATTACAGGCGTGAGCCATCGCACCTGGCTCATACACTTAATTTTAAGTGATGGTTACTGAGCTTTAAGAAAACTGCATTATTAGGATGACACAGCAAACCATTCATAGATTTAACACACACATATAATTTTTAAAAGTTATTTTACTTTACTTTTTGCCAGTCTTGGGGTTTGAATTGTGGGCCTGTGCTGACACTGTGCTTCTTCTTTTTTTTTTTTTTTTGGTTCAAAGCTAGCACCATTTGAACCACAGCGCCATTTTTCGCTTTTTCTGTGATTAATTGGAGATCGAGCTAGCTTTGAACTGTTACCCTCAGATCATAGCCTCCCAAGTAGTAAGGTTCACAGGCCTGGACACTGGCACCTGGCGTAACATATTTATTGATCATATACTGTGATGATTCTGTAATCATCAGGAAGGTCTCAGTGCCATAAATGACTATTATTACTAGTGAAAGTTTTCAAATTGAATCATGGTGAAAATAAGTGAAAGCTAGTCTCCTGTATGTTCTGTCATGTACAGTCACTCCCTCCTCCTCCCCTCCATTACCACCCTCCATTAAAAAAAATTTTTTTTTTTGGAAAAGGGCCTTGCTAACTTTTCTGTGGCCTCAAACTTGTGATTCTCTTGTCTCTGCCTCCTAAGTAACTGGAGTTATTGGTATTTGCTGCCACCATGACTAGCTAGCCTAGGCCCTTCCATCATGGCCTAAAATTCAGTATAAAGATATCAAGACTTGGAAGACTGAGGAGGTTCATTCTAAAATGTAAAGAGGAATGTTAGAACACATACCTTATTGGGTATCAGTCCCAAATGTTCAGTTTCATAACTACTATGTCTTTGGGCAAGAGACTTCTCTCTCACCTTTAGTTTCCTTTTTTGTTGTTGTTGTTGTTGTTGGTCGTGGAGCTTGAACTCTGGACCTGGGCACTGTCCTTGAGCTCTTCAGCTTAAGGCTAGTGCTTTTCAACTTGAGCCACAGCTCCACTTCTGGTTTTCTGGTTGGAGATAAGAGTCTCAGGGACATTCCTGACCCAGTTGGCTTTGAACCTGATCCTTAGATCTCAGCCTCCTGAGTAGCCAGGATTATAGGTATGAGCCACTGGTGCCCAGCTGAACTTTAGTTTTTTAATATCTAGCTTTAGTATAAATGTATTTTTGTTTAGTTGGCTATAGGCCAAGTTCCTACCTAGCACAGGGTCTACTTTACAGTAATCCCAATAAATATCTTGATGATGTTTATTTCAAAATGAACTACTTATTGGCCATTGTGTGCATTGATTTAACTTATAGGTATCTATTGATACTTAATCCACAAATAGTTCAGCAAATAACTTATGACTATCTTAGAATAATCTATGCCTGGATGGGAGGTTAGACTACATCATTTAAGACCAAAATG